GAGGCGAAGGAAGTCCTCAAGGAAGCGCACGAAGGGGTTTGTGGTGCACACCAACCCGGTCCCAAACTTTATGACCGCATCAGAAGAATGGGATACTTCTGGCCTCATATAATGACTGACGCAGTTGCATACGCCCGAAAATGTCATGAGTGTCAGATACATGCGAATTATATGCACCAACCGCCGGAGTATTTGCATCCGTCGGTCACATCATGGCCATTTGAAACTTGGGGAATGGACATCGTTGGTCCTATAAATCCCCCGTCGATCAAAGGTGACCGGTTCATCTTAGCAATTACTGACTACTTCTCCAAATGGGCTGAAGCGGTCCCACTCAGAGAAGTTAAAACAAGCAACGTCATCGCATTCATCAAACACCATATTATCTACCGGCATGGTGTCCCAAGACGAATCATACATGACAACGGTCCTCAGTTTGTCAGCAACGCCTTTATCAGGTTTTGCGAGAAGTTTAAAATTCAGGATATCTCGTCAACGGCTTATAATCCCACAGCGAATGGATTGGCTGAAGCTTTCAATAAGACTATCATAAAACTGTTGTCAAAACTCGTGAAGACCAATAAGCGAGATTGGGACGACAAGCTCGGCGCGGCTCTGTGGGCCTATCGTACCACAGTGCGCACGCCGACGGGAGCAACCCCATACTCTTTAGTGTACGGGTGTGAAGCCGTCCTTCCGTTAGAAATACAAATCCCATCTCTTCGAATCGCTCTCGCAACCCAGATGACGACCGAAGAGCAACATCAGAAACGCCTCGAAGAACTCGAGATGTTTAACGAAAAGCGCTTAGAAGCTCAGCAACATATTGAGTTCTACCAAGCCAGAATATCCCGAGCTTTCGATAAGAAGGTTCGACAACGGAGTTTTAAGGAAGGAGATTTGGTCTTAACTGAAAGACGGCCTATGATCCTTAACTCCAAGAAGAAAGGTAAATTTGAACCCAAATGGGACGGACCATTCGTAGTAGAGACAGTCTACTCGAGTGGCGCATATCGCCTAGTTACCAAGGATGGTGACCGGCTCATGATGCCAATAAATGGCAAATTTCTGAAAAAGTACTACCCTTAGTACATTCAGAATTCATTATTGACGGGAAGTTCCTGGAGAATACCATATACGATATTCTTAAGGATAACCCGGAAACAACCAGCTGTTCTCTAAAATAATTCAAACCTGGTTATAGGGAACCCCTGCTGTAATCGTCTAAACAATCTTTTGTGAGATGAGATTTGATTACTTGTTAGAACCAATCTTTCCTCACAAGAAAATTCTTAGTATCCCTCATTATCAGATCAGTTTACAACAGGCCTAAATTCCTTGGGCCAAGTCTGACTGCCACTATGATTGATACTCGCATTCCTACTTTGAAGTTGCCTTCCCCTCTTCGGCAAAGAAGGCCTTCGCTCTACACTGAACGACCAAACCTACGAAAGTTAGGGTCGTCTCAATATCCCCTTTTGGTCTAACTATCAAGTCACTTGGGCCAAAATTGGATTTCTCTTCGATAAACGAAAACAGTTCATGTCTGTCTCTTCAGCCAAACCTATAAAAGTTAGGGTTGGAGTTTGAATTTCATCTTGATAAACAAGAAAACTTATTCCCGGATCAGATGACCTAGACTATAAAAGTTGGGGTAAACTGAATCCTCCCGATTCTCAGGATGGAGATCCCATTCTTAGTTTCATTTCACAGATTCTTGAAGTGGAGATCCCACTTTTAGTTTCTTCTGCATATCAAGAATAGAATATAAAATTCTGCTTCTTTGATATTGGGTTCACTTCTCCCTCAAAAGAAGGACTGAAGAAAGAATATAAAATTCATCCTCTTCAGTATCTGGTTCGTTTTTGTCCTATAAAAGGATGCTATATTTTCAACTCCCAAAATCCGTACCTCACAGGTACGGGGAATTTTATCCCGAATCCTAAGAAGGGATAAGTCAACGTCTGACACACGTTGCCGGTTTAGTCTTTCACCGATTGAAAAAGACACCAGAATTCTAGTCTGGGGAACTTGATCCCGAAGCCTAAGCAGGGATGAGTCGGCACCTAATACGCGCCGCCGGTTTGTCTTTTACCGTAAGAAAATGACCAAGTCTACGTATTCAAATTCGTAGCATTAAGTCTAAAGGGGTTCATCCCTTTAGCACAACGTTACTTGTGAAACGGACCTAGATAATTCACAAGCTAGCCCGATTCAAACGGTAGTCGGTAAAGGCATACCAAATCCGTTGACGGCTGAGGATTTGCCAAAAATCCTACAAGTATTATGGTTGATTGTTCTAAAAAAGAATGAGAAATCATAATAAGAATAAAAAGCGCACTGAACAAAACACGCATGTCATTAACAAAAAAAGTTCGGATACAGCAGTCACAATCACTTTACATTGTATTTTAGACTAATGATTTCTTGCTCAAGCTTGATTAACTCTTCAGCATAAGCACGTTCAAGCTCACGCTGCAGCTCGGTTTTGAAGGAGTCCTCAGATGCAGATAAGAGTTGCGCGGCTTCTTCCTCCATCCTGGCTAATCTTTCCCTCGAGAGCATCACTTTGCTGGATATCACGGCCTTGCTATGCTCCTCCCCAGCCTTGGTCACCTCCAGAATAGTTCTTCGCTGCTTCGCCTCCACCAGCTTTCGCTCAAGCTCCGCTATTTCGACGTCAACAGAGGCTAACGACGAGTCAATTTCACGTAAATGAGCCGATCTTTCGGAAAGAACTGCCTCCGCTTGGTCGACCCGTTTTCGCTGCGCCTGAATCCCAATTTCGATCGATTCTCGAGATTCACGCCATGTCTGCATACGAGCTTCCATTTGCGCAGCAACATACCCAGAGACACCAATAGATTGGAGTTCCTGGAGTTTCACAAACCTACGCTCAAATTGATTTACATCGTCGGTCAAAGCTTCAGCGATGTCAAGGGAGACAGTATCCTTTATTAAGGCTATTTTGCGCTCAAGGATCGGGCGAAAATCACCGAAAGGGAGTCTTTTCTCCAGAAGTTTATCGACCAGTGACTCTACGAAATTGAGAAAATTGCCAACTTCCAAGCAGAGGAGGAGCTTATCTGGGTCGTCATCAGACAATAAAGCATCAACGCGCGCGCGAAGCTGAGATGACGATCCTAGAAAAGAAGAAGAAGAAAACGCAAAATCATGAATATTCAGAAATGACAAGTCAAAAATATGTAAGAAAAAGATAGCACACGAGATTTACCAGCCCCTGAAGAGCTCTCTGCGACCGAATGCACTACCCCCGCCTCTCGCCGCTCAATTTCGCATGTCGCTGGGGGTGGCCCAGGTGTAATAACTGTTGAAGCATCAACCACTTCAGGTGGTCTCACAGGCAAACTCTCAGTTGCAGCAGGCGTGGTAGTCGGTGTTCCCAAAGAAACCGGAGGTTGTTGCGGAAAGTCTGATGACCGAGCGTCAATAACAATTCCTGCCAAAAGCAAGAAATCAAGACCCTCAGATTCATCAGATTTCCCGTTAGGAGTAGTTGCATCAGTCGTTATGACTGGTCCTACGATTTGAATCTGCCGATGAGTGGCTAAGGAACCACGAATAAATAAATCATGCGAAGAAGAATCTTACGTGCGGGTGAGTCAGCGGTGATTATCGGGTCAACGGCCTCGTATTGGGCTTGTTCACGTAACATATCATCCAGCAACATATCGTCGGAAGCCGACACTGGTTCACGCGAAGCCAGATCCTCTTCTTCAAAAGATGCGTTTTGGGAATCCTCTTCTTCACCTTGACCCTCTATTACCGTATCTGTAAAAAAGGTGCGAGGGTCAAAATATAGTCGTTCCAACATGCCAGACTATATAACAAAACTTTACCTTCAATGGCAATGTTGGATTCCGGCACCTGTTCGCTTCGATCCACCTCTTGTAGCTTTTCTAACAGAGTAAGAAGCAGAGAAACAGTTAGCGGGGATACGAATTCTCCATCGGTCATTGCCCGCCATCCGAAAAAGGCGCTACTGGTTTTTAGAATACCTAGACTCTCAGCATGCTCGGTCAAACCTGCCTCGATGTCGTGACCCACCTCGGTCTCCCCGAGAACGTTGGTCTCTACGCCTGTACCCTCTTCTGGCCTGATTCCCGGAAGTGGGGTCGAGAAATCAAGGTCAGGTGAAGAGGCGTCAAAGACAAAGCCGCTTGGTAAATCTCCTCCTGCAAAGTACGAAAATTGTTTAAATTCGAAAGCTCAACGTATGTCGGAAGGAGCTATACAAAGAGGTACTCACCCCTCTCAACGGTAACACCTTGAGTCGAGGGCATCGTTTCAGGATTGCTCCTCCGCTTAGAAGTCAACTTCTTGCGTTTAGCCGGGCGTCCCTCTTTAGTTAGCCTCTCCTCTGAAAATTTAGAGCGCAATTCACGCCTTGGAGTAACCCGATCCGCGGAACGAGACCGCGTCCAAGGGAGTAGGCCGGACTCTTCTCTCTCCTCCTCAGAAAATACACCTGGGATTTCAACCGACATATTGTTAGGATAGGTGAACAAGACTTGCATCTTTGGCCTCTTTACATGAGGTGAAGATTTGGATAGTTGATCTACATATTCTAAAACCTCAACACACCAAGTTTGGGGTGAATCCGTCGTCGTTTGACCCTCCATCGAGCCATGTGAAAAGTTCTATTCATTCAAAACCGTTAAAATTGATACGAGTGGATGAAGGGTTCAAACGACGACGGGTTCACCCCAAACTTGGTGTGTTGGGGTTTTAGAATATGTAGATCAATTTCAACGAAGCGGATCATCCAAAATGTCGCTTAATCATGTGATTTTAGAAGCGTCATAGGAGGAAATCCCCTCCTATGACAAGGATACCCATTAATCTCTCTCTCTATATATATACATACATACCTACCTACCTAGTATAGAAATATCAAATCCTATGAGATTGTTTTCTTCCTGTTTTAAGTTAAAAGTATAAAATTTCTATTTCAAGTAGTATGATACTATATTTGAGATCTACTAAAATAAGTTTTAACTTGTGTTGGAAGGCACAAGACTATGAATCAGTTACTTATAAACAGCATTAATAAGACATTGCAAATATTTTGACAAACACGTTATCCAATATAGCTGAAAAGAAACTAACATTGTTATCACATGATTTGATCTTCAGCCTCCACAACTACTTTTAAAAATAGGCTAAAATGTTATAATCCGGAAATTACCTTTGTTGCACAATGAGCCCATGATGAACCTGGTGCTGAAAATTTGTTGCACAATGAGCATCTGCCATGATGGAATTTGTAAAGGACGGCCATGATCTGCAGATGCAGCGAAGGAGCACAGTCAGCAATGTGAGTCAGTTTGATGTACATGGATTCTGATAAATCTGGTGAATATAAAGTGAGTAGAATAAGATATCTCCGAATATATTTTCTTCAAATTCAAAGGTTCTTCACACACACACTTCTGCATGCATGTCCGTGAGGCACATGCATGCATTACACACCCATACATGCACTATATATGCATGCATGAACACACCTCGCATACATGAATGCATGTGCGCACACACAAACACACATGCACAGGCATGGGCAATGACAATTTTTAATATTATCATTATCTATATATAGAAATTTCAGATGTTATGTTATTGCTATCTCAAATTTTTGAGAAAAGTTTTCAAGTTTCAGATTATCTTTTTTTTACTGTTGATTCTAAATTTGAGATCTCTTAAAACAACATGATCCAGCAGCAGCCATTTTTTAGAAACAGGTTCGAATTCCTGAACAAGGGAAAAGGCAAAGAAGTTTGATCAAGGTGGATCTTTTTTTCTTTTTGGAAGTGCCAAAAAGGGAAAAGGCAAAGACTACTTCTTCATCATGTATGCTTTTTCCCCCTACATATACATTAGCCACATAATTTGTCTACATTTGCCACATAAATTATATACACATGTAATCAGGTTATACTTGCACAAAATCTTGTATTTGTCTCGCTTAGAATCCGCAGAGCCTGGGAATACAATAAATTTACACATCATCATCCTATATCTACTATATACGTTTTATTAGGCAAATGGAAATAAGGGTTTAAGTTTAAGTCATTGATGTTATAGCCGCTGGTTGATGGCATAACATATCCATTTTCATAAATAATTAAACAAGGTCATCTGCAAAATGAAACATGATTGAGCAAGAAAAGTTGGAAGAGTTAAGGATTCTGTTAACAAAGCAAGAAAAATGGCTTGTAAAAAACTTCTCTTTTCAGAAAGAAAAACCATTACAAAATATAACAAGTTTTAGAAACTAGGCAAGAGTGCAAGGAAAGTCTAGCACAACAAATGGGTCTTCAACAAGTTTTTATTCAAAAAGTGTATCGGCTAGCTCCAAAAGAAGACAGAATAAGGATTGTTTTGAGGAAGATACATACAATGTTTTAAATATTGGTTTGTGGGGATTTATCGGGCGGTCAAAATTCATATCAAATAGCGGATATCGGGGATAAGTAGTATTTATCAGAGTGACATTACCGGATGGTGATATACATAATATAGTATATTAAAATTTAATCTAACCATATGTAATGAAATATAAACATAGCAAAATGTAAATGTAAAAAATTATGTTTAGAATCACTAACCAAAGGTAAAACTCAGGTCGGGTCGGGTTTTAAAGTCCATTCAATAGGTGCCCGTTACCCGAAGTCAAAACTCAAACAAAGGCCGATAATTCCTATTTTTGGGCCGACAATATCGGCCAATAACTCACTTTATCGCCGCATTATCAGCGATAAACTTCCAAAAACGATAACCGATTTAGAATCGAACTTATCATAGTGGAAGGCCCCCAAAACCAATAATTCGCCGATAATATCGGTTTATCGGCTGATATTTAAAACATTGGATACATATGATTGTTATAAAATTTTTACCTTAATTACCATGCATATATGTTATTGATATGCTCGTAATCTGCCGGAAGTGTTTGTTGGTGAATAAAAGAATGTTCCAGCCTACAAGGACAAATAATTGATTAAAAATTTGTTAGGCTCAAATGTCAATTAAGTAAACAACAGTTGCTAGAAATGTCAAAATAGGAAAATCTGATAACGAGGTACTGATTGAGCAGAAATAGAGCTCATATGCAGTTAATTAGGGAGGTTACAGGCACTAGAAACATGAATTTTGGAAGATACTGAACTAGACTGATTAAGCAGAAACAAAACGATAACACGTACATTATCCCCTAGCTAAACAAAACGATAACACGTACATTATCCCCTAGCTAAACAAAACGATAACACGTACATTATCCCCTAGCTAAACAAAACGATAACACGTACATTATCCCCTACCTTAATTTCTTTCGACGCACAACCCATACTATCCACTCTGATGTTCTCTTGTAACTTCTTCTTGACATTGTCATCATATATTTTCTATAGTTTCATTGCCGGTATTTATGTTTACTCATCACTTACTAATTCCAGTCATAGTGTGCGAATTCTGAAATTTATAGTTTGTACATGCTCCAGGTTTGATTATACTGTCAACTCTGATCGATCTGCTAGATTCTACTAATCTAAAGGACGGATGTCTAGAGCCAGGATATTCTGGCATCCGAGCAAAGCTCTGTGGCCCAAAACAGCCGCCTCAGGACTTCATGATTCAGGTGCGTCTCTATGCTAATGTAATGTTTAGAAATTAATTTGGGGCATCTTTATTATTTCTTTCTTTGGCATGCTTGTTGATGTCTGAATTAAACCTTACTTTTCTTTCTTGATTTCTGAACTGGGTCTTTTTCATTTTGTACATAAATTTATTTGTTTCAGACTATGAAGAACAGACATGCATAGCCTCACGCATTACGAATGCAATATGCAACATCCCCCTAAAAAACCCAAAACAGGGCGCATAAAGACCGGCCTTCCGAATCGACCCATCAGGCCAATGTAACGGCCGACACTCCTTCAGTTTCAGATCAAGCGCGAAAGTACGGCCGTAATAGACGTCAAGAACGTAAAAAGATTCATTCTTTGAGCAAGCAATGCGGGTGTTTGCGGAGCAAACCTCACTGAGGCCGGCGATTCCACCGACAGTGCTCTAGCTGCCGGTATCCGACGAGAAGACGTCGACCTCGTCGGAGCCACGGCGGCGCACGGGATCATCCCCCGGCAACGGGAAAGATACGATCTTGAAGGAGCGGGTATCGGAATTGGGATTGAAAGCAAGGGCCAGCTCTCTGGAAACCCTGGGCGGCTTTGGGATTTTCGCCCGCTTTCTCGTCGCGGAGGGAATTAGGGTTTGAGAGGAGTAACAATCCGTTGCAGACGGAGATTAGGGATCTGAGCAGGGATCTGATCCCTAATCATCGGGATGATGATGATTATCCATTAATGAGATGTTTACGCTCATGATGATGATGATGATCCAGCGTGGCGTTTATATAGTCTCTTGAAATAATTTTACGCCATGATTACAGAAGATGTTTTTTTTTGGGCAACATACCCGAAATCATTAATAATTTTAGAGTTCTGATGCAATAAGAAGTATTTTAAAGTTAATAATTGTTTCCAAATAAAAGATCTGATAGATGTTGCCTTTAATATTTTATCTTTTATTACTTACATTAGGAGTCTTGAAACTTTAGGAAGCCTTATACGTCTATATATAGACCCAGGAGAAGAACTAATTATCAATCAATTATTTTCCCACCCTCTCTCTCAAAGTTGATCAATGGAGCGAATCCCTGAAGAATTGCTTCTTGAAATCCTCTCCAGAACTCCGACCAAGTCTCTCCTTCGTTCTGCGTGCGTTTCAAAGGCATGGCGAGATATTATGCACAAGGACCATCATCTCCGAAGCCTGCATTGCGACCACTTGCCCTCTGACAATCCTACGCCTCTCTTCTTCTCCAACCGAAGGAACGAAAACCTCTCCATCATCGCCATCTCCTTGGCCCAAGACTACGTCGCAGGGAAGCCTAAGATATGGCATATCCTCAAAAGACAGTCATTCGCGACGTGGAATAACGGTACGTGGAACGAGGACGACTACAAGCTCGCTAACACCTGCAACGGACTTCTCTGCTTTAGGCCTAATAATTACCGACAACCTATTGAGATCTGTAATCCTCTCTGTGCTGAGTACAGCACGCTTCCTGCTTACCCGATGCAGGATATTTTCAGTTGCTCAGTCGGGCTGGGCTTCAGTCCCTCAACGAAAGAGTACAAAGTAGTCGTGATTGCTAAAGATCATGGCTACAACTTTTCTCTACCAGAAGAAGGGTCCCCGGGCAAGCTATCCATACGCACTCTGGGCGCCGAAGAGTCATGGAGAGATGTCGGAGATATTTATTTCAATACACGCCATGGTCCTATTTATATCGACGGGAAGATACACTGGACAATCTCCTATGCTAATTCATCAACAGCTTTGCACCTGTTATCTTTCGACCTCGGAACTGAAGAGGGAAAGGTAATAGACAACGTTCCGAACAACGACGGTCAGTTGCAGCTCACACAGCTCAAAGAGGGCATCTCTGTCATCGTTACTTCAGAGTCAGACATCAAGATATGGACTCTCAAGGAATACCACAACATAATTTCCTGGGAAAGAACGCATATCATTGAGCTCCCCCGCGCACCGGCAGGGACACCTTCTAGGTTTCCGAGACTCGTTGGCCTGTGGCAACGCGACGATGCTTTGCAGGTTTGGTTACACGATGTGATGATCCTGTACGATGAAGCAAAGAATTCTGAAGAAGGGTGCAAGATGTACGAGGAACCTGCAGTTTCAAGTACCTGGCGTCTTCACACAAGTTACGTGCCGAGCCTTGTGCCTCTGAAACGAATAGGCTGTGAAAGCAAGAAGGTATTTGCTGATCAAAATCATTTGATTCAACACGAGGAACTACCACCTAACTGTACTCCTAAAAGGGTAGTCATTGAATTAAATCTTTAGATTTTCTTCGTTCTTGTATTCAATAGAGTGAATAGTTTTATGTAATACTGCCACAGAATCTGAATCTACAATGATCTTTACATTCCTTGTAACTTGAGCCACTGTAATATATCAAAAAGACTGATCATCCTTCTTGTTTCTCTAGTGCGAATGCAGTAGATGATAGAGCATATATTGATAAATAATTGAATTGGAAAGTGAATTATGCTTTTTTAGATTATCATGCAACAAGTCAAAACTAGGCATACTTTTAGTATAAAGATTGAAGGCTCACAGCATAAGTTTCACGGTTCTCATTAGCATCCTTCACGGAAAAGATCATTGATTTTATTCCATTGCAGCGTTGTAGGTTGACGAGCATGAATAAAATGCGATATCGAAATAAACAGAGAAGAAAAGACTTTATGAGCTCTGCTGGATCATTCTTGAGAACAGTCCTATATGTGCAATCAAAAATACCACCTTTAATGCAAAGCAGTTACAAACTTACTATCCATCTAACATAGTTAATAAACTACTTCGTATTTCATTGCGCGAATCCGGGCATAGAAACACGGTAAATAAACGACCCAAAGGTTATTAGCGAAAAGAAAACGAACAAAAGAGAAGAGTTCTTTGGAAATCAAAGTACCACCTTCAATGTAAAACCAGTTGCGAAATGACAATCCATCTCTGCTTAAAACTTAACATGAAACAGAAAGCAATCTTTTGAGCTAGAAAAAACTCGAGATAC